CCTCATTCCAGGCCCTTATCTTATAAACAGGCCCACTGACTTTATTCGGCAAAGAATTAATTCTATCAAGCTTATAGTCCTCAGGGGTCCCTCCCCAACAATGACCCAAAAGAGTCAATGATTTGACTCATGTACATAAAACCAGTGGGGAATGTGCTGGGCTACATATCTGGCACTTCGGCCAGATGGGTCATGCTGTGCTGTCTGTTCCTAAAACACACAGATAGGAAGGTACTGACATCAGGCCAGGCCTTGAGATATGGTCTCATGACCCCTTCCCAGCACACAGGTCTTCTTTCTCAGAAGGCCCGGAAGTCTCATTACAAATTTTGGAGACAAAAGACTGGGAAAAGTATAAATAAAGAGAGTTTTCTCCATATTGGGGGGCCCAGAATTTGAAAGACACATTTTTCTCTGGGCCTCCACAGAATTTAATAATAAAATGTAACTCCTGTAGTCTGGGCTGCAGTTCAGCCTCTGTTTCGGCAGGGTGCTGTAACTGTGGTCAGCTGGCCAGCTTAATAAAGGCTCTTAAATTTAAATTCTGAGTCGGTGATCTATCTTGCTGAGTCAACCCATAACAACTTGTTGCCACTGAATTGTAGAGTTAAAAATGGATAAGATCGTAAAGTTTATATTATTATATACATACCACAATTTTTAAAAACACCTAAATTTTAAAAAAATTATAGTCTGGACTAGTGTCCCAGTGCACAGATTTGTGTACATTGAGGGGAAATTAATTAGAAGAAATATTTTAATATCGCTATTCGCCCTTTCTGTATAATAAAAGTGTTAATCATTTCAAGATCAACAGTGACAGATTGAAACACACATGTGTGATTGGCGCCAGCGAGAGCTTGATATGTATCGCCCATGCACAAGTCAACTTAGCCTTTTATATATATAGAATAAACTTGCTTAATTAAACCTGCTTTCTGATTTAGCTAAATTTTTTCCAGCCCAGTGAAGCACCCCAACTTCTCTTTCAGGTAATTGTCAGCAACACAGCAGTAAATATCAACACGAAGCAGGTTATTATTGTAGATCACACAGGGAGAACTAAGGGTAAAGTATTTAACTGTAGCAGTGTTTGACTATATTCTGTGCAGTGAGAAAACCTGAAGTCATTTTCAAGGTCCACCATTTCTTATACTTCTTTTGTCGGGTCAAGTTTCTAAACTTTCTAAATCTCTGTTTTCTGGCTAATGAAAAGAAAATAGGATTCTACTGAGCCTCCTATCTACCTACTCCAGGATCTTCTGTAAAGATCAAATGAGATGAGTCATGTGAAAATGCTTCACAAACATTTGGTTACAGTGTAAAATGTTTGCACCTGGCCATAAAGCAAGTTAAATTCTAGGGCTGAAGAAACTCCAAGGAAGCTAGTTGCTAGGGAGAGGAAGCCGGGGTTTGCTATGTGACATCATTACCCGGTGCCCACAGCCACCATTTCCAGGCTGGACTGGGCGGTGGGCCATATTTTGTGCCATGGGGTCTTAGCAGCATTGGCTGTGATTTGGTGGGGTGTCGCACTGGAGTGGTGGCAGGGCCTGTGTCCCACTTGGGGGAAGCCAAGTGTTGGCATGTCGGCGTCAGGTCTGTAGTGCCGTTCATTTTTAAGTGGCCAATGTGCGTCATGGCAGCTCCTGCGTTGACCATCTGCCCCCTGGTGGTCAGTGCACGTCATAGCTACCAGTCGGATGGATGGATGGACACTTAGCCTTTTATATATATACTAGAGGCCCGGTGCACAAAAATTTGTGCACTCGGG